AGTGCGTGTTTCAGAGAATCTATGTCTCGCAATATTTGAGGAACCTCTTTTTTCTGTGAAATTTATGATACATGATGATAGTTTAAGAGTTTTAAAGCGGAGTATTCCTTGAGAGATTTAATGTATATTCGATATTTATAATGATTTTTCCACGAAAAAGACAATAATCGCGTAAAACCATTATCCATTATCGACAAACTTGTCTGTCACGTTTATCACACTCACAAAATACAAGAGAATAAAATACCTGTGGTGGTGGTTGCCAAGGCCACTGATGACTCTGAGGTTGCGGAATCGGTGGCGGATCGTCCACAAAGTATGTAGCCCATTCATCAAACCCATTTTCAAACTCGACTGGCGTTATTTGATTTGGACAAAAGATATTATTGCCTCTCACGCGCGCCGGAAAAGCTATTGGTTCTTTGGGCAATAGACCTTGAAGTATTTGAAGCTTTTCCTGTGTTTTGCTTTCGAGCTTTTGATAGGCCGTTCGCTCTCTTTCTCTTTCTGGCGACGAGGTCATTGTTGTTTGTATGGCTAGTATAGTAGGAAAAAAAACTATTATTTCTAAAACTTTCGCAGTTGAAAATACAATAGCGATAACGTTTTGGGTCGAAAATTAAATTTAGTTTGGGGGTATTTATAAGAGGAGATAATGATCTGCTCGTGTGAAGAAATCAGTATAGAATTTTCCGGGACCTAAAATTATCCATTTTATATAATTATTAGATCATCGAAAAATTTATTATGAATGGCCAGTGACACAATGTCTCAGATGAGACAATTTTGAATCGTAAGGTGGCTGAACTTGAAAAACACAATTGCGATAGTTCGATTGAGTCAACCTATATATGAGATATTGATGAAGAACATATGACTCGTACAAAAAAACTGAAATTTGCATTTTTATAGACAAGTCGCATCATCGTTTCTTTACCAAAATTTATTTCAAAATCGACTCCCAATTCTCTTCGTTTTAAAAATTTTACAACTTCTAAATATTTCAAATATTCAACATATTATAAGCGCAAAACTCAATTTATACAATATCTCGGTTATACAACCACCACCATCACTGCTCCTATCCCGACCACGAGCACAATAAACCCACAATCCGCCTCTGCAGCCTTACCATTCAGAACATTTACTAATGTATAAAGAACCGTTTGAGGTTCCAGCAAAATGTCTTAAATTTTTTTAATTGCCTCGTTATTTTTCACTACGAGTATGACGCCGCTAATGTTTATAGTGAATAACTAATGGGCTTGTTGCCGAGAAGTGTTTTAGCCCTTGTTGGTGTGTATGATTATTTTTATTATATTCTCTGACAGTATCGATTATTTAACATGTTAACAAATATTCTAATTCTGCAAAGTAATAATAACAAGTGCTGTATCGACCGGCCTAATAACGTTTTTATTCGCCCCATACGCGACAAAAATGTACATTCCCAAATAATCTTTTTCATCGCCTCGGACATCTCATCCGTTACTTCATCATCAATCATAACTATTGACACACCACTAACTATCGAGAGACTTTCCTTTTTAGGCCGCAGAATTCTTACCACTGTTCCAATTAAAACTCTTACACCATCAAAAAAAATTATTTACCACCTGGGAAATCCGACCAAATTATCTCTCGACGATTCATTCTCAAGACGCAAAAGTTGGAAAAATTGTTCATCATACAAGACAATTCTTTTATGTTCATCAGGAGTTAATTAAAGCTGATAAGAGCGGGTTGTAGCAGCAAGTTCAAGAGATGTGGAGGAATGACGTGAAGGAATATCATGTTTGGTGATGCTGTATTTTATTTTAATAAAGAAAATAATCTGTTTATGTTTTAAATCACTTAATAATATTTAACTTTGTATGCATATTAATTATATTTGAACGTATTAAAATTAATGTAATCAACATATTTTGATCAGACATGTGATTTGATCACAATTGCGTGCTTTAAATCGAATTTTATTGACTTCTTGTTTGGATTCAGCCACAAAATAAATGGTTTCAATCTTGTGGCTGAATCCAATCAAATAAAAATGGAGCTTGTGATTCATAATAATCCAAACTGAAAAAATCTCTGGATAATTATCATCATTTTTGAATTCAGGCATTTCTATTGCTATTATTAACTTTTCTCGTCAAGAGTTCATTACGCGCTAAAGACGCGAAAATTGTGAATTTTCTACTTTTTTTGCGCTTTGTTTGGACAATAGACCTGCACATAACTTTGAAGATGCCTTTGGGTTGTGTATAAGAGCACGATATTTGTACATTGGTTTTTTAACGACTCTGATGATAATTATTATGATGAGGAAATCATTACTCCCAAAGACTTTCCAGAATTTTATCCAAACAGGAAAAGAAAAATAAAAGAGATCAACTTATGTGCAGAAAAGTGGGCGAAAATAAGTACGGAAAATAGACAAGTGCGAATAATGACAATTAGGATGTAGATGACAAATAGGTTGAAAATAAAAATGACTTTTCTTTGTAGATCCGCAGTACGAGAGTCTAGGTAATTATGCTGATAGGGAGATGGCAAGTACACTCCTTTGTGGTAAAGAAGAGCTGCAACACCAGGGATTTATGGACCATCCTTCAAAAAAGAGTATATTAGCTGATTTAAAGCACTTGAAAAGTATGGCTCTAAAGTAATTGATATCGTTCGTGTATTGGAGAACGAAGATGTGTCGAATTTGTCAACCATAAATGCAAGAAATAAATGTGATTGGACAGGTTGGATAATTGTTGGAGAAGGAAAAGGATCAAGACAACTAGGCAATCTAGTGAACGGTGTATATAAAATGGTAGGTAACGATAAATTAGTAACCATTTAAATGTTAACAAATAGGAACTGCATATAAAAATCATCACAATACTATAGTTAAATAATAAACTGCAACAACACACTGAGAAAACAGATCCAATTGGTTCATTAATCGTTAATTATTCTATTATAGAAGGACGAGATTCCAATCAGATCAGTATGTAAATATAACTGAAATTGTCGTGAATTCTACGTTTAAAACGAATCAATAGCGTTTTGAACTCTTTGTCGTGAATGCAAATTGCAGTGGGTATAGTATGCCTATAGTATATCTATACCTTTAAACGCTGATAATTCAGAAGCAATATACCATGATGCAGATAATGAAATAAGTATCCATGTACAAGCCCTTCATAATTCTTCACCAGTCATTGGCAGGCGGGATTGGAGGAGATATCAGTTGTTAGTAAAGCCTGATCGTGACTCACAAATATACGATTATGCTACTGGCACTTGGAAAATGCTATTAGCAGACACTTAAAGATAAGAAACTGAATAAGCAATTATTCAAAGAAAAAAGCGGTAGAGACTCACCAACAGTTTAATTTTATTATCCAGCATGGATTGGCAAAATTAGAAACTTATGCACAGATTATGAGATCAAAGAAGACATAAATATGATCAAGTATTACATAAATATGCATTTATTAATTCCGATAAAGAACACATTCTGAAACTCGTAGAAGAGACGTACCAGTTTTGTTATATTCATGGTATTCCTGAATTATGGGGATATCTCTGAATGAATTAGTATAACAAAAGTGGCTGAAAATTATTTGCCCGTTCATTCTATCCATTACCGATATCTTTGGCTCGAACAATCATGATCACAGAGAGAGCGCTCAAGTACAAGCACAAGTACAAATTACAACAGATCGTCTCACCAATATTGATCTAGTACAACACAAATCAGTTTTTTCTAATATGGTGACAATCCTTTAAGAAGGATTAGAACAAGATGGCGGCTACAGATATAATATGGATGTAGATAGTTAGGTGTGCTCCTGTCCAGCGTACTTACGCAATCGTTATTTTCTTTGCAAGCAATTATTATGAAAAAGAACAGACAATTTTTGTCTCTTTTTAACGAAACAGTTCGACGACACAATTATTCATTGCTTGTTTTCAGTATCGATAACATCCCAGTAATCTCTCAAAGAATAATTCTTGAAAAACGCATAGTATAATTGCCGTAGAGAATCAAGTTTCTGAAGGTTCCAGCATAGATAATCCGCAAGATATAGTGATGACACAACAAAACGTGATGGAAGAGAAATATATTGAATATAAGAACAAGTTTAAGAAAGTATTAGAGTTGTACAAAAGAGAAATGGGCAATGATAACTTTGTGAAAAGTTTTGATAAAGAATAATAATGCTATCCATCCATAATAATAATAATAGAGTTAAAATGAAATCATTCTTTGTGTAACAGGCGTGATTAATAGATGCCATATATCAATATAGTGATAATAAAAAGAAGAAGAAGAAGAAGAATAATAATAATAAAAAACAACAATAATAGAATTTATCGCGAATTATATCGCGAATTATATCAATAATAGATGTAGACTGAAATTCTGTCGTATCTATCTCGTTAAATCCACCTAATCCATTTTTAAGATCAATTTCCTTAGGTTTTGCATTTGACTCGAGACCTTTGTTTGTTGTTGAATTAACATTCAATTCCTCACCTCTGGATGTTGGCTGAAATTCTGGTATTAAAGTCATATCCACCTCTCTAAATCATTTTCAAGGCTAATTTCCTTTTGTTTTGTGTTCCCCAACTCTTTATTTCTAGATACCGATTGAAATTCTGGTATCGTGTCCATTTCTTTAAATTCGCTAAATCCATTTTCAAGACCTTTTTCTACATTTCGAACTTCGCTCTTTCCATTGTATAAAAATTCAAGATTATACATAGAGGTTGAGTTTCCATTCTGTGCAGATTTCTCAAAATATTTTATGAAAAATAATTCATCTTTTTTAATTCCTTCGCTTTCACAGAGCCAATGGCCATAACAAAGTTGAACCTCAGGCAAATCTATAACAGCTGCTTCTTGAAAATGGCTTACAATTTTTATTATTGCTGCTTTTTTTTGCTCATCAACTTCTTGATCTTTTAAGCAGTTATGAAACGTGTAATATCCGACCTGATATATCGCATTGAAATCATCCAAATCTGCATAATCATAAAAGAACAGATTTTTATTATTAATTAATTTTTATTAATATGATATTAATAATCTCAATTACCTTTATTTACAATATCCGCCCATTCAATGGGAGCTTGCAATAGCAAAGATCGTTCTTGTTTATCTTCAAGAGCCATATTATGAATTTCTTTAATATTCATTTCATCCTGGAATGAGCTCCTTTGTTCAATAATTTCACAAAGCATTACAAAACTATAAAATAAAATTAATAAGAAAAAGTCTTCAAATCTATAAATTATTGCTGATGATAATTCGTAAATTTTTTTTACCTATATATTTCACGCTTATGATTATATGAATGTTTGTCATTTCTAAGTTTTTCTGATGCCATATACCGGACATTATTGAAACCATCACAAATATTTCTGGTAATATCTTCTAAAAAATGACTTGAGATGAAACTGTTGATTTTTACTGTATATATCAGACCATCTTTTGTGATAAAAACAGTTTGATT